CTGCTACATCTAATTCTACCTTCTCATCTTTCTGTTTCCTTTTATCACCAAATTTTTTGAAAAAGCATGTTCCTCTCTCCACCTGCAGGTCCTCCTGCCTCCTTTTTATTCCCTAACCCCTTTCTGTCAGACAAGTGCTCCTTCCGTGTCACTGAAAATATTCTCCAGAAGATCACTGAAAACCTCAGAATTTCCTCAGACTCAGTGCTCAGCTTTTTTATCATCTGCCACTCATTCGATCCCATTTGTCTTTCAATTTCCCCTTCCTTTGACAGCAATTATAATGCATTATATTTTCTTCCTGTTTCTCTGGCCACTCCTTCTCTATTTTCTTTGTTTCTCATTTGTTGTTCTCGTTTCCAGTTATATAAATGTAGGAATTCCCCTAGTTTCATCCTCAGCCACAAGCCATATCCTTAACTTTAGGAATTTCAAATTCTCGAGTGATTTTATCTACCCTGCCTGAGCAGATGTACCTCAAATCTGCATATGCAGCCTGAACTGTTGTTCAATGTGCTGATACGTATTTCAGATCACTGAGCTTCTCTACCTGGGGATTTCTCTGGCATCCCAAAGTCAGTGTATTCTAACTTGCTAAATTCTGCTACTGCCTTGTTCCCAATCCCACAGTTTAAAATCACAGTGACCTGAGAGTCCCCTCTCCCCAGACTCCCCCATTCCACCTGTCCTCAAGTGCTATCAATTCTACCATGTGGTATCTCTCCCTTGACCTTTCCCAGTCTGTCCCCCCTGCCTCTGCTCTGGTGGAGCTCCTCCTGACCCATAGCTTGATTTGCTGCAGAAGACTGTCAACTGCTCATGGTCTGTAATCACTGCCTCTTCTCACCATTTCTACCCACTGTTGTCGGAGTAATCTTTTAAACCCTCAATTTTATCATGCCTATCCCATGATCAAAATACTTTAATATTTTCCTACTGCCACACAGGGATTTGGTGCTAAAACTGGAAAGGTACCTATATTTAATTAAGTCTATCCCTGTCACTTTAAGAATGAAAAAACTAAAGCTCAGAAAATTTAGGAAATACATTGAAGGTTTTCTGACTCTACCAAGTGTTCTTTTTATTTCATTATTTTGCCTTTGAAAGTCCAAGAGTGACTTTGCATCAGAGTTTATTCTCAGCAAAAGAAAATAAGCTTAGATCAACCCACCACATTTTTAAGCAGACTTGGCAGTTTTTTAATTACCCATCCAATTGAGAGTCTGACTCTATGGTGAAACCTACTTGGTCGTCTGCCTAAGTTGCGTCTCATGGGAAAAAAAAATGACCCAGCTTCATAAAGCTGGAATGGTTTCTTAGTCATCTGGCATAGTTATCCAAAACAAACACAGGCACTGACACTTCACTGGGTAAGGGAAGTAAAATAACAGATAGCAGGTGCATACACAATTCTGTAGCTGTGAAAAAACGACTTCCAAACGGACAAATAAGGTATCCTCACATCCCAGTCTCACACCCACAAAAAAGAGAGGAAAAAGTGCTAGTAAGTTCACAGGTAGCAAGAATATTCATTTGCATTAACATTTCGGTTCTGCATCCAAGACGTACTCTACAGATAACACTTTAGTTATACGTTCTAACCATTTGGGCCATTTACTTTTTTGCCCTTGTACTATTGTTGTTATTATTATTGTATATAAGCTAGGATAATATGATATTAAATTAAAATCTGAATTTCTTTGAGTTCTCAAACTTGTAATGTCAATTCTTTGTATTACATTTTACTAAATAATTTACTTGAGGGAATAGGTTGTCTTATATTTTATTGTAAAACCCACAACTCAAGTACAAATTTTGGCTGAATTGTGATTAATTGTATTTAGCCATAAGTTAATATCCAAGACTCAATTTCCTCATCTGTAAAATGTAGGTAATAAGAGTAGTGGCCACATGTCTTTGTTGTGATAATTAAATGCATGGATTTCTCTAAACATATTGCCTAGTATTTATTCAATGAATTGTAACATCTGTAAAATGTAGGTAATAAGAGTAGTGGCCACATGTCTTTGTTGTGATAATTAAATGCACGGATTTCTCTAAACATATTGCCTAGTATTTATTCAATGAATTGTAACAATAATAATCATAATGATTAACATTAAATATATATCATGGGTATGTAATTCCTATAATAAAGACATTGTTTCTTTCCTCTACTTACATTAACCATAAGTACATATTTTCTTGAATTATCAATTGTGGCAATTTTTAAAAAATATGTAGTTGGAGGCTAAAATTTTAGTATTTCTTAAATGGTGAAATTGAAATCAACTGAAAAAGGAATTTCCTACATTTTTAAATTACTATTACTAGTATTTTTTAATGCAAACTATAATTCTTTTATATCAGTGATGCAGGTAAAGTCTAGTTGTGATAACAGTTCATACTTTGCAATTCTGAAAAAGTTCAATTTGAAGTTAAACATTTCTTACTTAGATAGAAATAAAAATGAAGGATTTACACCATTTTTAATTGATTTTTAATGATAAATGCACACCAGTCTTCAAATTCATACCTGTTTTTTAGGTAAATAACTTACAATGTCTCAAACAAATTTACAGATATATTAAACTCAATATATAAATGTTGTGTTTTTAGAAATACCTGTGGTTTTTAGAAAGAATAATTTAAAGTATCCCAATTTTTCACTACAAATCATGTGTAAAGATCAAGGCCAGAGCTGAAACTAGGCAGAGCCTGCTTGACTAGCACACGTGTTTGACTAGGGAAATGATTTAATGCAGAGGGAAAGACTAAGGGAAGTTGCTCACTCAGCAACTTGTCCTTACACTCCTGCATTTTTTTCTCCTTGCTATGAAAGGATGTATTGATATTTATTTTGCTTAGTACTAACAATAACACATCAAGTATGAGTTTATTTGTTACATAAAGAAAATTGATTACTTTTCTTTTAGAGTTTTTTATTCTCATATTTCAAAGCAGGCTAAAAATATCATCTAAAAATTTTCAAGAATACTGGAAAATGTTCCATCTAGAATTGGAATGGGAAGTAAAAACTTTTCTGAAGTTTTCTGGATATCTTTCTGCCTCACCCTTTCTTCACTCCAAACATTTTTTTTCTACTCTCATTTGTGAGTAGTCAGATCCTAAAAATATAGTCAAATATTTTAGTATTATAACTTATTAAATGTCACTGAACAGTATCAGAGTATCTTCAGAGTATCTGAGTTTCCAACCTCATTTCCTCTGGGTTCTATCTTCAAACATGCTAACTCCTACCCATGTGATTACAAGTATCAGTAAAAGCTAAGAATGGGGGGGAGGGGGGAAGGCTTAAAAATAGGAGTAATAAAGTGAAGAGCAAAACTGAAAGGTAACATCATCATCAGATCCCAGAGGTAAACCAAATCCACCTACTATCCAGACTGAAAAATGATTCTAATGACTCACGAGACTATTGTTTTGTTTTGGGGTTTTTTGAGACAATTGGATAACATGGACTTTAAAGCATCCAATTAAAAATTAACTATTGTGATTATCTTTTTTTTATAGGTGTTGGTGGAAGTTAACAGTGAATTTCGGATCCAGGTAATATATAGCAAATTCATTTTTACCAAATTAGAAAAAAAGGAAAATGATTTGGAAATAACAATATATTTTCCAAAGAAATATCATTTTTATAAGTAAAGTTAATGTAATCCTAAAATTGACAGATTATCAAAATTACCAATTTTCCCAACTAAACATTCTTTCTGACTCCTCTAAATCTCCAGTGGGATATAATTATGAATGAAGTTGATAGATATTATTACTTTATTTTACTCATTCAAGGTGAGAGATTATAACACTAAAAATGGCACCATCAAGTGGCATTCAATCAGAAGGCAAAAACGTGAATGGATCAAGTTCGCTGCAGCCTGTCGTGAAGGTGAAGACAACTCAAAGAGGAACCCAATCGCCAAAGTAAGCACCAACCCCAAATCATAAAACTGAAAAGCGGGATGGACGGGGTTAAAGCTTCAAAAGAACCTGTCTTTTAGGTATTTTCTAAACATACCTTATCCAGAAGTTATGATACAGAAAAGAGCAATGGTCATTCAGATTAGGAAAATTGAATCTCCTTAAAAAGGATAAATTAAGGAATTTAGGTACTCAGGCAAACAGTTAAATATTGACTGACCACTCCGGTGAAATTAATACATGTGATCTTGTGTTATCCTACACTCTAGATGAAAAAACATACAGTGGTTTAAATAATGAATTTAGCTTTCAGCACATTCAGAGGAAGTACTTCACATGCTCTTTTTGCCTCAGTAAAATCGAGTTGCTACTTTTTGGCCTGTATATTAACATTCACAATGTGCCCTCTATCATGCTCTCTTTTTCTTTTCATTTTCCCTTATCTTCCTTTCTACACACACACACACACACACACACACACTCAGAAACACACCCCACACACAGATTCACACACCGAGATACATACGCGTACACAGATACACACAAAAATATACACACACACACACACACACACACATTCACACAGATACTCACAGAGACCCCCCACTAAGATTTGCTTAGTTATATAATATTTTACTTCGAAGAAATAGTCCTGCTTTCTATAACCATTTATTTGGGATAGTCTCCTTTTCTGCTAATACATCTTCTCCATTTTTGGAATTTAAAAGCTTTTACAGAATCAGATAACTTGTCATCTCTGTAAATGCATTTAAACTTTCTTCTAACACTATTTAAAAAATTTTTGAATCTGAAAATCTAAGTGATGTAATGACAACACTGTAGACTGTCTAACAGGTCAAGGAGTTCCCTTGTCTAGCCCGAGTGCTAGCACAGAGCCTGAAAATAATACAAGGTCAAATTATAAATGTCAAATAAATGAGTTAATGTGTAAATGGTGATGCATAGACTGAGATTTACTAGGTGGGTATTTTGCTTTTTTCCTGTTTCATAGAAATAGAAATTGACTTTATTTTATTACATTGTCATTTACCATTGAAAATATTAGAGCTGTAATTATTATACTTATCCAAGAAAATAATTCTCTACTTTTAATTTTTCCCAAATGGTAACAGGGACAGCACATTCAATAATTATCAAGAAAGATAGTTGCCATAAATCAAACATTGGCTTTCATTTCCATCTATCGTCATGCTCAACACTTCTTAATACTAAAATTTAAAATAAAAATAAAAAAATTAAGAAAACTTACTTTAATCTTCTATTAAAACCCCAACACTTCATATCCAAAAAATACCTTCAAATAATAATCGACATTTGCAGTTTTCACTCAAGAAAGATAGTTGCACTGCTTGTCTGGATTCTTCAGACTACTTTAATTCTTTAGTCTTCAATTCCAAATCCATATTCCTGACTTCTCTCCCATACTGTTTCCCCACAAACTCTAAATCAGCATGCTAGCCTTTTAGCTTTTCTTGAAGCACAATGCATTTTCTATGAAATATACTACATATGTAAAATAGTATACATTGCACTTATATATACTTCAAATATAAATAATAATAATAATAATAGTAATACAAACACCCATGTAGCTACTACCTAGCTTAAGAATGCTATATTTCTTTGAAGCCCCCATGTAATAACCCTCTTTTATTACATTCTCAATACTCCCCATCCCAGTAGCCCCTGTTCCTGATTTCAAACATTACATTTGCATCACTCCATTGCTTTCCTCATATGAATCTCTTTGTTTGGAACACCTGCCAATCCCCAGCTCTACCTGTTGAAATTCCCTTTCAAGATCTATCTTAATTATTATATCCTCCTACAAAGTTATAGTATTTTTCATTTTTGTTCCTCCTTTATATAAATTATCATATGACATTTTCTTAAATGGTATTTTGTATTCATGTTTGCCTTCCCGTATTGATTTTAAGTACTGCTTATGCCTATATTCTAGTAGGAAATAATAATATGTCTTACTTTTCTTTTAATTTCCCACAATGTCTAGTATAGTGCCCAAATAAGGTAAGGACTTAATAAATATGTGTTTCACCTTCTTTTTTTCTCCTAGATTTATTGCCGGGCTCTGAATTCACTGGGCCAAGATTTAGAGAGACCTCTTGAGCTCAGAGTCAGGGTTTTGGATATAAATGATAACCCTCCAGTATTTGCAATGTCTACATTTCTAGGACAAATAGAAGAAAATTCTAATGCAAGTAAGTTATCTACTTTATTAAGTAAACAAGAATATATTGGCAGATCACCCTTAACAGCCAGGCACCTAACTAGAGGCTAAACTATGTCAAGGTACACATCATGAGAGTAAGAGATAAGCTGTAGAAAAGCTTAAGAACAGAAAGGCTTTCTCTCCAACTGTGGAAGCAGCCCCAATCTGTCATACACAAGGAGTGACTCCAAAGCAATGAGGATGATTTTCTCATGGAATTCACATACTAGCTTTGTATATTTCTTATGAGAAATTCCAAAAGTATTTGGCACAGTGGTGGCAGGGGCATTGGGAAGAGAACTTAGCCTCCCAGACTGACTGCTTTGAAAGGTGATCCTACCCAGTTCTGTTCATACTGCTTTCTTTTTTTAAGTTAACTACTTTAAAGTCACTCATAGAAATCACTTCCACACAATCTATTTTGTGCTCAAGAGTTTTTGTTGATGGCAAATAAATGCAAAACAAGCATTGTTTTTCCCTTTTTATATATGATTTAATATGATTCCCTTTTTGTATATGATTCTTATACATGATTTAATTATATAGGTTTTGTTTGCTTTATACTCTAGGCACGGGTTTTATGTATTTGAAATGCTTTATAAATCTAATCCTGTTTGGCCTGCCATGCACATTTAAAGCTGATTGTCTCTTAAGTGGTGCTAGGTGAGGGGTACCAGCCAATCTGTATGACTAGAGCATTTACCTGCAAGAGCTTTGACAATCTAAAGGAGCTATTGTCTGCTTATGGATTCCTATAAATGGTAACATTTTAATCACCAAATACTCAGTCACTTGGGAAGGGTATACATTAACTGCTTAGTACTTCATTGAAGATTGTCCTAAACACATTAAAAACAGCAGAGATGGGGCCGACCCCGTGGCTCACTCGGGAGAGTGCGGCAATGGGAGCACAGCGGCGCTCCCACCGCGGGTTCGGATCCTATATAGGGATGGCCAGTGCACTCACTGGTTGAGTGCAGTGCGGGCAACACCAAGCCAAGGGTTCTGATCCCCTTACCAGTCACAAAAAACCACACCAAAAAAAAAAAAAAACAGCAGAGATGTTTGCTCATTTGAAGTCAGAACTTCAATCTACCATAGTTACTTTTAAATTTTAAGTGGTGTAATTTCTTGCAAGATCCAAAAATCCTTACATTTTACTTTTATTTATTAAAATACTATACCTATGCTTTGAACTTTTAAAAATGTTATTACAAAAATACTTGTTGAAAAAAATCACACAATGTGGAAAGTAAAAAGGGAACCAAAATTCATTCTTTGCTCTTTCTTGTACCATTCTTCTTAGAGGAAAGCACTATCAGTTACTTAGGTACATACATTCTATAATTATATAAATATAAACATATTTTTGAAGATAAATGGGATTATCTTTTACATACTAATCCACAGCATGAATTGTTATTAAAATATATTTTGAACATATTTCCATATCAGGACATGTAGATTTCTACAGTCCTTTATAGAGTTGCATTGGATTTCATTGTATGAATGTACCATAATTAGTCAATTGTCCATTTTTAAACATTTTTAAAGTTTTGCTAAGATTAATAGAGACTGAGAGAGAGAGAGAGAGAGAAATAAACAGAGAAGAGACAAGAGATGCCCTAGTGCATCTCTTGCACAAAAATTGTTTCTGAAACAGAGTTGGAGAGTAGAAAAGAATTCTAGTTTGTGAATGAACACTGATGACTTTTCATGTTCTTCCCTCATATCTGTGGGGGATTGATTCCAGGACCTCCCAGGTACTCAAATCCTCAGATGCACAAGTCCCTTACATAAAACCTTTGCACATCCTCCATATACTTTAAATCATCTCTAGATTACTTGTAATACCTAATACAATGTAAATAGTATGCAAACAGCTTTTATACTGTAATTTTTATTCTTATTTTTTATTATTGTACAGTTATTTTTTATTTTTCCCCCAAATATGTTTATTCTGTAGTTGGTTGAAACAGAAGATGCCAAATCTAGGAATAGGGAAGGCCAACTATCATTAAGAATAATCTAGGGGNCTAATACAATGTAAATAGTATGCAAACAGCTTTTATACTGTAATTTTTATTCTTATTTTTTTATTATTGTACAGTTATTTTTTATTTTTCCCCCAAATATTTTTATTCTGTAGTTGGTTGAAACAGAAGATGCCAAATCTAGGAATAGGGAAGGCCAACTATCATTAAGAATAATCTAAAAGATAAGGGACAGGACAATGCATGCAGCTAAACAAACATCTCTTTAAATCTAGTTACCTAGCACTTAATTAAGGACCACTCAAAGCAGAATAATAATAATAATATATATTTATTGAATATGCATTATTCAATAGGAACTTTATATAGTTTTCTCTCATTAGCCCTTTAATTCTCACATGAACTCAATGAGGATGGTATTAATTGTTATGCCCATTTACAGATGTGGGAAATGAAGCCAAGATCATATAGCTAGAAAGTGATAAAGTTGGGAAAAAGTTGGTCTGGTCTTAGTATCATTTTGCTCTACCATAGCGTCCTAAAAAGAAAAAAAAATAGAAGAGGAAAAAGGAAGAATTATACTAGAATAAGAAATAGAAAGCCAGAATAACACGTTTCCTTTGTTTTCCAACTATTAGTAATCTAGGTTCCTAATAAAATGTGATGTTTTTATCAAGGCAAGAAATAGAAAGGAGCTAAGAT